TGCACACGAGCTGTGCTAACCGACTGTTCTTTCCAGTCGCAGCTCGCACAGGATGTGAGTAATTTCCAAAAACAAAAAAAACTGGTCACATTGCTGTCACCCGCTCTCTCGCTCTCATTTTCACGCTGTCCATGTGCTGTGCCGTTTCACGCTGCTGTTCCAATTTATAATTAATTAATTTATTATTCTTTCATTTTGCATGCTTTAATATTAATCGCACTCACACACAAGCAAAAAAAAAAATTACTTTCTTCAGCTCCCATGCTCTCTCTCTCTCTCTCTCTCTCTCTCTGGGTCGCTCTCTGGCTGAATTTCGCGCTCTGACTTTTGGCCTTCCAGTTTATGGCAACTGAGAGCGGAGAGCGTCGGCCTGGCACAGGTAGAGTTTACAGCAGGAGCAGTATAAAAAAAAAATAAAAAAAATGGTGTGCACGCGTTACAACACTTACAGTCACACACACACCAATACACCACACCAATCCAGCAATACAGCAGTACACACACACGGCAATACACACGCCAATACACGCACATCCTCGCACAATTGTATTTTGATTATGCCCGGTTCGGTACGCCGCATAGCTTACATATTTCTACGCACAACAATGCGACCCAGCAGCCCCCTGCCCCCCTACTCCCCTCCAGGCGACTATCCCTCAGTCCCAATCTCAATTCCCGTTACAGCCCCCGGCCCCGGACCATTCCCAGCAGCCCATTGATAGCCCCAGTTCGCCATTTCAAATATTTATAGAAATAAGAAAAGGAGAAGAATTTAAGCATAAACATAAACATGCATCGAATTGCGAATACACTTTCAAATGTTGTCTCTTAATTAAATCTACTATTTAGTATTTGCAGACGATAAAGTAAACAATTTGAAATGTATTCAATATATTAAAAATTATATCATTATTACAGAATATAACTATTTCTAATGAAAAATAATGAATTTGAATTTGAATATTAAAAATGTTTATTTGTATTTTAAATTTAACTGCTTCCATTTCAAACAGACAACACACAGCGACATTCCAATAGTGGAAAGCATATACTACATACATATACATATCTAATATGTGCAGTAAGTGTGTAAGTTTGTTTCCATGATTTTCTATGCTTAACATAATTATTAACATCTGCTGCACTGGAAACTCAGCATGTCCAAGTGTTGTGTAGGGTAAGCGAGTGGAAAAAGTGGACAAAAAAAAACAAAAAACAAAAATAAGAAATTGAAGAGCAGCAAAGCGGGGCAAAGTTTTGCACGTTTGTCATAGAAGTGAGCTCTAATAGGCATTTAGATCATTTATTTTATGCACAGTCTCATAATAAAAACGCCAAAATATATCATTTGTAATTATAATTTGTGGGCAGACGCACAGAACCAGAGCGACCGAGGGGGAGGAGGGAAGGAGGGTTGTTTGAGACGACATCCTTGGTTGGTGGCACAAAACACTGGACATAGGACACCGCGCTGTCTGCACTTGTCAGAAGCTAAAGATATTTATAAAAGGCACTGGCAGCTAAACAAATGGCTCAAGTCAACTGTGGCCAAACAAAAGAGTTATATAACAATAGATGAAAGACGAGACACGAGACGAGAGAGGGGAAACGGAAACTGTAGACGGCTGTTTTCCAGCGCTGCCAAAATGGCCTGCAGCACAGAAATGCACAAAAGACAATTGTTTGTTATTTTCTATTTAATAAACTACTCAGAGGTCAATTTGCTTTAAGACATATTTGAATATCGCGTACATTCAATATTATATGTAATAAATACAACAAATATTGATTTGGATCAATTTGCTAAAAGATTTATTATTATCCACGCTGCAAATGATCATGTTGCCGTCGATATCTAGTTATTGATTTCTAGTATGTCACATTTCATTGTGTTAATTGCTGAATGCTATGTATACTTTGCATACTACAGCTATATTTATATAAGTTTATATGTTTTTCATTTGCAAATTGTTCATCTCAATCTTGATTGCACTTAAGTAATAGATCACTCAATTTTCTGGAGCAATATATACACGTTAATTAATCTAAATTAATTTTGCCACATGTGAACAAAGCGCCAGAATCATTAGTCGAGGCTATACAAACGCCACAGATAACTTTGATGGGTGGAATGGTGTCGGGAGAGGGGATATGTGAGAGTGAAGAGAGAGGCGAGACTGTTTTGTCTTGATGCTTAATAAAGCATATAATATGATTATTAATCAAATGTGGCGTATTGACTTTTCAGTTGTTGCAAGGATGCGGTATATATGTGGCATCAGAGTGTGGCATATTCCCATATCATAAATCAGCCAAAGAAAGTTTTGCACTCCGACTGAGACTGGCTTTTATGGCACTTTGTTTGGATTGTAATACGGATGACAGCTCAATGCTGTTTAATACGCCAACTTACTAGCTTTGGCGAAAATTTTAATGAATGACGTCGTCAGCGTGGCAAGGACACCCCCCCCCCCTCAACGCCCCAACGCCCCTTACACCC